TTCCTCCATCTCTAATTAACCGGTTTTCCTCCTTCAGTTTAGTCCCAGGTCGCAATTTAATTAACGCCCGACGTTCGAGTGTCCTAAGGTAAACGCGTCCAGATGCAAACATATTAAATATACAACAGAAATATGTCGGGCACCGTTGGAAAAGTCGGTAATAGAGTCACTGCAAAATTACGACTTCCTAAATCTAAAATGCGAAGATTATGTCCACGAACTTGTCGAGTTTCATCACAGACCGAAGAGAGAAAGAGGGAGAGAGGGAGAGAGGGAGAGAGACTTGCGTGTCCCGCGCGTTTCGGACAAACGTATTATCAGCGGCGATTCATCCGCCTCCCGTTCTCCAATGTCGAACGATAATTCCCGAGGTCCGTCTCGGAAGGACTTCATTAACCGTCGCGGAACGTCGGCGCTCCGGGGAGAGCTCGAAAACTGGCGCGTACATCATCGCGCGCGTTGGTGTGCAAGTAGGTGAGCCTGGTCCCGCACCGCGGGCGAGGGTGTCGCGCGTGCACCAGGTGCCTCCGGCCTCGGGACCGGCGCGGCCGAGCGTCACGGTATAAATAACAGCCGGGCTGATAATTAAGACGGGCTCGGCTGCGGCTCGACGCCCGCTGTCTCCTCGCGACGCGATCGAAGGGCTCGCGCGCGAAGACACGCGAGGTCGTGTCGCCCTGGACCAGTATCCCGCGACCATACGACGGAATTCCAGCGGAATTCTCGTGCAAGTGGAAGAGGGTCAGCGCGCGTATCCTTAAGTCTTCCCTTTGTGTCCGCCCTCCTGCGTCTTGCGGGGCGAGCGAGCGACGGAAGGTATAGCAGGATCCGGGAAAATGCGAGAAAAGAGACGCGCGGAAGAGAGAGAAAGAGAGAGAGAGAGAATCGCGCCATGTGCGAGGGCTCCAGCATCACCGCGGCGGAAGGTATTGCGTGGATTCATCTGGATAAAACCGCGGCGCGATCAATCACCCGGTGATTAACTGCGCTACCCACGGAATCGAACTCGCCCGTAATTTATGGCGGTTTTTCTAGATAAGATATAAGGGACGGTGTCGAGGTGTGTGACACAGGTGTTCATGTAGGAAGTGCGCCCGTTATTGAAAATAACGCGCTCGTTGTAGCCCACGATATAAGCGACTTCTGGGCGCGTACGTATCCCAGGCGCTTGACGAGATCGTAATTGAAGCGAGTCGTTTGATTTGTCCGTTGCAGATAAACATCGGATCGGATCCGTCTTTCGCGTCAGGCGGGACTTTTCCCGGGTAAAAGTATTTTATTGCCATCGACTCATGAATATTAACGCATTGATAATTTTCAAATTAAAACTAGCAACATTCCATCTTGCATAACGATTACGCACAACGCTCCTTTATATATGTAATTCCATGGCACGGCATAAAACTTTCGACTCCTTAATCGGAAGTTTATTGCTTGGACTCTGGCATTAATTAATTTCTCTTTTTGGTCCTCGAACCAAATATGTTGCCGATATCAACGATCATACTTGGAATAAAATGTAACGTACCGTCTTGAAACGTCCTTCCGAAAAATTCAACGAAAGAGAAGAGGAGAATTAATTTTTACGATCAGCAGGGGGACAAGGACGGGCTCAGCCATCGCGCGCGACTTCTCGGATGAGTCGCTATTGTGAACGCGCGGCTCCTATGCCATCGATATAACTTTCCAAGTGTAATTGAGGGAATAAAGTCCGCGAAATTTCGCGAGCCGCGACACTGGCGTGGATCGTAAAGAGGATGAGCGTGTCCCGGCGTAACCTGAGGCTGCGAAAGGGGCTGCAGTAACGCGACGAGGACACGTCGGGAAATGAAAACGAGGGGCGTCCCGGTGCCGCGGCGACGTTCTACCAACCCCACGGGGAGCCGGCACGTTATATCTTCATTAAGCAGTATACCTAACCGTCCTGTCGCGCGACTTCTTAGCACTTCGCAGCCCGCGCTAATTTCACGTTAACTTCTTCTTTCTACATATCGGTTTCTCTGCTCCCCGTGACGTAGCCTTATAAAGACGTTGGAAGGACGAGGCGGGCCGCGCGCCGCCGTCTTTCTTCGTGTTAACCGCGCTAACACGACGACGTCCTTTCGACATTTCTTTTTTCTTATCGTACAATTTCGCGTTCGACTTTAATTTGCCACGCGCGATTGCTACACTGAGAAAATTGTCCGATTAAATATAATCGAAAATGAAAAATTAAATTGTAAATTCCATGAAAAATATGATCGGTTTTTCAATCGAATTTCATCGGATAAATTTCATCGGATGTCATCCATAATTTAATCGGAAAACGTAATCGGAAGCACTATTTAATTGGCTTATCTGATGGAAATGTATCTCAGTGTCCCCATAAAAAAGTATATATCCCAAAATATATTATATGTATAATATATCAATATTTATACGTTAATATATGGTATATAAATGTATATACAAAATATAAGAATGCATATAACTGATTAAATCATTTTTTACCGCCTATGATATAGAAAAAATATAAGAAAATGTGCAAAATATATTTTTAATACATAATCTAATATATAAAATAGATATATTAGAATATATATGAAATACATATATGCCTGCGTATATCAAATTAAATCATTTTTGCCGTTTAAAATATATAACGAATATAAGTAAAGAAGGTATATTTTTACTGTACTCAAAAATATAAATACAAATATCTTCTATATGTACAACTATATGTACAAATATGTATATATATGCAATTTATATAGCACATATTTTAGGATATATGTAATATATTTTTAAATGTATATTTTTTCATGGGGGTGTATTCATTCTAAACGGGACAGTTTTTATCGAGAAGTGTTCGTGACCGGTATTCGTAGTCAGATCTTATATTCGAGACCGTCTTAAGATTACTCGAAAAGTCACTCCATTCAACTTGAAGGAATGTGCAACTTACTCGGTAACTTGTGTTTACTATCTGCCAAGATACTTTTCTGCGACTTGCGTATTCGTCAATGCGCGAGGATTCAGAGGATTCAAAAATGTCTTATACAAGGGGCCAGGTTCAGGTTTTCCGTCATTTTGCGGAGTCGAGTCTTTTTATAAGTAGAACCTTCTGCGCAATCGTGTCACTCAACCTCCGGTTTTCATTAAACCGGACAGGTCTTGACAGCCTCCTCTCGGCGGAGAAACCGGCAGCGCGAGAGGGCAGTCTCCTCAGAATTTAATCGCGACCCTTTGTCCGCCGAGTAAACGCCCGCAAGTTTCAGGCTCGTGTCGATATACCATCGGGTCCTCTCCGACGGGTGTTGCGGAGGAAATTCCAGGTCCCCGAATCGCCGTAAGATCGGGACGCATCGTTATGGGTCCGCGTGCTCCTGCGTGTCTCTCTCTCTCTCATTCTCTTTCTCGCTCGCTCGCTCGCGGGCGGTATCAGGCCGGTCCAGAAGGAGGACGCGGTCGTAAATATTCGGGCGCCAAATAATGCCGGTTCCGAGCGAGAGCAAGCGACCACGACTGCCGCCCGACCCGTAATGAAGGACATCCTCGTTAATTAGTCAATAAATTATCCTTCGCGCTCACGACGCCCGTGGTCGGTCCTCTCGCTCGCTCGCCACCGCGTCTCCTCTCGTCTCCGAGATTGCTCGTGAGGGTCGCATACTTTACGACACCTATCTCGCGCGACAGCGCGATGCATTTCTCACAATCAGCGGCCCCCGAAAGACGGAAAATGCACGTCTCGTAGGACGATCTACGAGGTGGTCCACCGCGTCGCTCGGGTCGCCGGCGTCTCGCGGGAATGCGTCCTCCCTGATAGCGAGATGACGGTCGATCACGACGAAAATAGATCCTCGGAATGAGCCCGCGCGAACCTGTTTCGACGAAAGCGTCCCGAGATCGGTTCGGCGTTATAAGCGGCAGCCGATGTGGCAGGAATTAAACACGGAATGCAAAAACTGATGTATTCGCGCCCGTATTGTTAGATAGTCGCAATAGCCGGCGGCCGTATCGTTTCTCCAGATTCACGCGCGCGAGGGGAAGCGGTCGGTGAGACGCGCAAGGCGGATCGTGCAATTATCTTTGAATTCTTGAGCTGATCGCTCGTAAGTGTTCGCACCCCGTGGTAAAAGCACGCGCGCGCTGAGCCACGCATGCAGGTGGACGGGATCCTCCCGTAATGTCCCGCACCGGCATGATGTCGTGCAACGAGTATAAAGATCCGATCCTATACGTGTCCGAGTTACATACCGTGCCACGTGATCGTACATCACTTTAACTACTTCCTGGCTCGGTACGTTTCTGCCGGCCGCGAAGGACGGTGCTCATCTCTTCCGAGAAATCCCGGTGAACCGACGCGAGCTGCACGATGTGTCGATGAGGTTTAGAAAAAGCCGGATACATACATTAACATACCTCGTGTCGCTTTGATAACGTTAACAAAAAAATTATACCTCTTTTCGAACACGAGAGCGAGAGTAATCCTTTCTCGTACGCTGAGAACAATTTCCATCGGATCAACTAATTAAATAGTGTTTCCGATGGTCCATTTTTCCGAGTAAATTGCGTACACGTCCGATGAAATTTTAACGAAAAACCGATCATATTTTTCATCGGATATACAATTTAATCGGGTATGTCCGTTTGTTATTATGTAATTGGATTATTCGGTTATACTTAATCAGATATTTTCCTCGGTGTGAACATGGCCCCGTTTATCAAATTGCTTTATCACGTTACAGTTTCGGAAAATTTGCAGTTAAAGTTGCAAAAGATGCTCGTTTCTGTGATTTTTGCTATTGTTGTATAGTGTATGCGTCAGTTTTGAAATCCTACACTGAGAATGTCCGATTAAACATAAAATTACATAATAACAAACGGATATATCCGATGAAAAATACGAGCGGGTTTTCAAATTTCACCGGTAACTGCATTTCATCGGATAAATTTCATCGGATGTTATCCATAATTTCACCGGAAAACGTAATCGGAAAATTAACCATCGGAAACACCATTCAATTGGTTTCTCCAATAGAAATTTTTCTCAATGTAGAGTATTGCGATCATCTTCTCTTATCACAAACAATAAAAGGATAAGATTTCGTTTTAATAAGAAAGAATTTATGTGACAGCAGGGAAAGTGAAAAGACCGTTTAGAGATATGGATTGATACATTTTATTAATTCAATGTATGGCATGTATAATATAAATCGCAGACTTTAATGAAATCGAGAGGACATCATTCTCTCACCTTTTTTTAAAACTAAGTTGGTCTGAAAATATTCTTTGTATAGCTGTTCGCATGACTTGGCGACGGGAAGTCTTCAGTGTGAGCTACCAGCAGGTGAGCACGGAGTTCCTTGGCGAAATTCGTGCAGAACGAATCCGCCTCTTTCCCTTTCTCCCTCTTGCAAAACTCGCACTCGTAGATCGTCTTGCCCGGATGCAGATTCGTCGATAGTATGTGCTTCCGGAGATTTTCCTGCGAACACGAAAATCACCCGTGGTCTAAGCAAAGCGACTAATTGCGGCATTGCATAACTTAGGCAGCTGCTCTGGGGAAAAAAAAGACAGGAACCCATTTTGGGGCCTGCAATATCGAATTATCTGCATTGTATGTACTCTGTAAAAATCAATCAGTGGATTATCACCGAAAACAGCGAATAGTCACTGATTTGCAGTTATAAGTTTATTGCAGTTATAACTGCAAATCAGTGACTATTCACTGTTTTCAGTGATGATCCACTGATTGTCTTTTACAGAATAATAACTCTAATCTTTTACGAATTTCACCCCGCGTAACTAAAAATCGCAATTAGCTATTCTATCTATATCCAAGATTTTAAAGTGATCTATGTAGAAAAATTGCGTGACGACCATTGGCTGGCAAATTCTAATTGAAGAAATTTATTGCGAAAAATATTACCCCAGCCAGGGTTTGAACCTGGACCTCCCTACACTCTAGGCGGGCGTCTCACCAATTCGACGAATAATAGACAAAAATTACGAGGTAATATTTTTCGCAATGAATTTCTTTAATTAGAATTTGCCAGCCATTGGTCGTCATGCAATTTTTCTACATTGTTTAATCAATTACTAGCGTCAAATAATTCTTTATGATACTAATCAATTCTCTCGATTAGTTGTGTCGATATTCAGTGACGCAAAGATAATTTTCACTTAAGAGATTGTGGGCCCCAAAATGGGTTGCTGTCTTTTTTCCCTAGAGTGGACAGAGCTGGTAAAAGCCCCGACGTGTTCTTAGCGTAATTAACGGCCAATCAATAATCGACAAAACGTACAAAGGAATCGTTCACCGCGATCGCGCGTCGTGTCGAGTCGAGTAGGCATTTTTCGTTTTTGGATAACGTCTGGATACACGGTGGTGTGTGCAACCGGGGAATCGGTCCGCCGCGAAACCGGACGCAGACGTTCATTGGCTACGCCGTTGGCGCGTTTAAAGGCGCTTTACCCTCTCCGGGCTAAGTAGCCGGCCGTAATCGTAAACATCTTCCTACCAGGCGGGCTTATACGAGCCGCTGATGGCAACGCGCGGCAACATCAAATTTAATTTCTCATAAGTAAATCTTTCCGCGGGCACCGCTCCGTGACGGGCGCGCAGATTAAGCCTCGTTCACACCGCCGTGGGCGGTCGCGCCGCGGATCAGAGGAGCGGACATACGCCGCGTCGCGTAAATCTGACGTCAGGCCGAATTTCGTTGGGCCTGATCGATTCCGATTGCCACCGCGTTTAATTTCCCCCGGAATCGAGGGACCGCGAGCTACCGTGGGCCGCCCGAGACGGAAGGACGTCTACGGCGCGCGTTTACGACCGTCGGCAGTGGACGGTGACTTTACGAGCCTAATAATTTTCGGGTATACTCGCAGAAGCAGCGGGAAGATGTTAGAGAGAGACGTTAGAAGAGAGAGGATATTAGAAGAAATGTATTCTGTTGTTTAATGTATTACCTGGCAGAAAGCCCGATAGTTAAATGTCCGAGGTTCTAACATTTGTGTCGCCATTAAAGCCGGAATTTATCGAGCGATGAATAATAAATAATTTTCTATTTCTACTCGAAAATAAATTGCGTAACGAGGGATCATTGTGCGTGTCTCTGAAATTTTTTGCGGTGTCCGATAACATCTGCACCTGACGCAGGCCGTGGACGCTTCAAATCTTTTGGCGTCAATCAAGTTATCCCGATATCGGGTCCCTTTTACAAAAGAGGGAGAAACGCGGCCGGTTACGACGAACATCATCACTCGCTTGCTGTGCAAAAGTCATGGAGAACAGTAAGATCGTAAAAATTATAGAGAAAAAAGAAAGAAAGAAATAGCGAGAAGACTTTAACCCGAATCAACGCGTTATCGATGGCCCGTTCAACTCGTCCACCTGTTCCTTTTCTCTCCCGCCATTTTGTAAATAAATAAAATGTAGCTGCTTACGGTATTGCACGAGTTAACTATAAAACGGTAATGTCGGCTTACAATTGATTATCAGTCCGAGACTGCGGAATGTTACACGACGGAGGACAAGAAGTAAACGCGCGAGTGACGCAAGAATATTATTATATAAAAGCTCTGATTATTTTACTCGCATGTGGCAAGTTATAATTAGACAACAGATTTAAAAAAAACGCCTACACTGAAAACAATTTTTTTAACTAAGTAAATATATTTACTTAAAATTATTTTTTTGCTGAAGTAAATATTTATTCTATTTAAATAAAAAATAAAAAATACATTCAAACAAAGACTTCATGAGATATAGATTACTATTTATTAAATGAAATAATTGTGTTTGTTAAATACGAAATCCAATTTTCTTCGCTGTGAAAATTATAATACATCTTAGTAAACATTTTATAGAATTAAAATTAAATTTTTTTAATTTAAAATTATCTATCCTTTGATAAATACTTAAATTAAAGCAATGCACGTTTTAATTTGTTTAGTATTTTTAAATTTAAGTTAATAAGCTATTAGGAGCCACCTAATAAATAATTTTCTTGAGAAAAATAACATTTTTTGGGTTAAGATTTTTTTATCAATGTAGAAAATTAAACCAAATACTGAACTAATTCACGAAACAGAATTTACTATATCATAATTAAATGCAAATTAGTCTCTCTGTCGCTCCGCTGAAATCTTTACTTTTCTCTACAAACCTTCCCACCATTAAAGCCAACGACACACGATTTTTTTCCATTGGATTGCTTACAGGAGCCAATCGGGATTTAGCCCTAAGTCACCTGGAGCTCGATCATGAATCTTTTTCTCCAGCGTGAACTGGCGAGAAGCGAAAAATTTCATTAACGAATTCAATATTTGTCAATAAAAATTTCCACTTTTCATGAGTTCACGTTTGAGGAAAAGATTCATGATTGAGTCGCGGATCTAAAGCCAACGGCACACGATGCTATTTTTTCTATTGAATTATACTTACGAGATCCAATCGGGATTTAAAAATCAACGCCACACGATACTATTTTTCAGGATGCAGAGTTTTCGACCAGGTGACTTAAGGCTAAATCCTGATTGGCCCTCGTAAGCAATCCAGTAGGTAAAATAATATCGTGCGCCGTTGGCTTTAGCCTTAAGTCACCTGATCTAAAGCCAACGATACTATTTTTCCTATTGGATTGCTTACGAGAGCCAATCAGGGTTTAGCTTTAAGTCATCTGATCTAAAACTCTGCATCCTTATTGGCTCTCGCAAGCAATCCAGTAGGAAAAATAGTATTGTGTGCCGTTGGCTTAAAACTCCGCATCCGAGAACCAATAAAGCCCGTATCAGACTACGGATTGACATTGATATTAGATTGAAATTTTACCAATTAGAATAAAAGTCACTAAACTTGAGATCAGTAAACTTTACTCCGATTGGTCAAATCCGTAGTCTGATACGGGCTTTATTGGTTCTCGTAAGCAATCCAGGTGGAAAAATAGTATCGCGTGCCGTTGGCTTAACTCACAAGTAAAAGCCAACGGGACACGGATACTATTTTTCCTACTGGATTGCTTACGAGAGCCAATCAGGGTTTAGCCTTAAGCCACCTGATCTAAAACTCCGCATCCCGATTGGCTCCCGTAAGCGATCCAGTAGGAAAAATAGTACCGTGTGCCGTTGGCTTAAGATTGCCTTTTAATTTCTCTCGTGAGACACGACGCGGCGCGTTACTTCATCTCAATATTCCGCGGGTCGCAGTCTATCGCGACGAAGTGGGAAAGCGACTTTTCGACAACTCTCGGCGACCGATGTGGGAAGCGGGACGCGCGCTCCGGATTCGGTGTTAACCGGTGTCGGGCTTGAGGAGAGAGTTACCACCCTCGACGCGAAAGTTTTCCAAGTGCCGGCGGTGGCGAACCGATGGCGGGGGGGGGGAGGGCGAGGGGGGCGGTTTCGAAGCGAGGGCGGAAGCGTCGCGCCGGTCGGCAAAAAGAGGCATCTCCCCGTCTGAGGTAAATCATAGCGCGGAGGGAAGCGAGAGGGAAGAGAAAGGAGAGCGGCGCGCGTAATCTCATCGCGCGCGGGGTGAGCCTCGAGCTCCTCTACGTGGAAGAGTTTCCTCGTTAAATCGTCCCGCACGCCGCTCGCACGTCCCTTCCTTATTAAAGTGCCGCGCAAACGGCTATCGCCCGATACAGCTCGCAGTCAGAATCTCCCGATCCGTCCCTTCGGACGGATTACTTTTTTTCCCCCCCCGTCCTCGGTCGCGCGAACGTCGACGATTTATCGGCGCTTCGAAGTGGGTAATCGGACGTCCGTGTACATATACGCGCCGTTACATCGTGTCACAGTATTTTCGAAATGATGTTACAGTTTATTCTATTTCCGATGAACCGAGAATGGAGTAAATCGTAAAAGACCTCGCGCACATCATACGTCGATAAAAAATTTTCAACAATCTGTTTTCTCGCCGGCCGAATCGATGTCTGCACCTTTTTCTTTTTCGTAAGACGGTCGAATTTCATAATTGAGACTGTAGAATATAACAATGTACGCGTTAGCGAAAGACGCGCTGCGGAGGAAAGGCGACAACAGAATTGACTTAAGGCTTATGACCAAGAGAGGAACTATTGTTTGAGTTATTCCCGATTCTTTAGCTTCTAGTTCGAAGTGCATCGCGAACGTGTGACTCCTCTTCGTCACTTTAGATCGAGGACGAGGCACAGCCGATCGATGCGTCGCGAATGAGAGTCACTGAAATGAGTTTATGTCGCTATATCAAAGAGACACGGAGACCTCGTATGCGAGTTGCATCCCGACTCAAGCATCAAAGGGCATTAGCATACCGGCCGCGCGGTATGACTGGGCCGTGCGTGCGTGTGGGCATCCAGTGGGCACAATTAACTCGTTATCTTATCGCGCCCCGGTGGCGGCAGAGGCGGCGGCGCGGTCCAAACGTTAAGGTTGTACTCTGCTTAATTTACGCCACGGAGCCCCGGTACCGGCGGGATAAAAATTGGACCGCGTCGGGATTGCGGGGCGCGAGTCAACCGCCGAGAGAAAGAGAAAACGAGAGAGAGAGAAAGAGAGAGAGAGAGAGAGAGAGAGAGAGAGAGAGAGAGAGAGAGAAAGAGAAAGAGAGAGAGAGCTACCGCGCGACGTGAAGGCAAGCGAAGACTTTGAACCCCGATGACGACCGTGTCGCGAGGACGAGCGTGCGTGTGCATGTGCGGTAGGTCCCACGAATACGAATGTAGATAATGTACGAGCAAACGCACGGCACTACTGGTTTTAGCCGTACAGAGTGTCGCGAGTGTTTGGTGACCCACGCCTCGAGAATAGCGCCGCTAAAGAGGGTCTGATCTCGAGTTAGGGTACTGTTACATCTGTCGTACGACAAATTTCTCAAGCGTGTCGATTGGCCGCGGGATATAGGGAAGGCCATCGAGCCTCTAGAAATTTTCTAATTTGCAGCCGATTTGGTGCGCACTCAAGAAATTTGTCCCACGACAAATGTTACACCTTCGTGGTACACGGGATCTAACAGCGAATTCGATTACCCGCACTGGTGCGCACTCGGTGCACACTGAGGCTTGTTCGTAGTCAATTGTTAGATTTAAGGATCATCTTAAATACCTCTTGAAATATTTCTTGTAAATGATCCAGTAAAATGATTTGCACAGCATCCGTACGGATCACCTTTTTGCTAAAGTTTACGGGTTTGTATTTAAAACAAAAGTACACTCTCTAAAAGTCAATCAGTGCATTGCCAACGAGTTATTCAGCGCTGCACTTATAACTGCGAATCAGTGAATATTCACTGTTTTCAGTGATGATCCACTGATCGACTTTTAGAGAGTAAGAATCGACCATAAACAAGCCTTAGTATGCACTCAGTGCGCACTAGTGCAAGCAACCGACTCCGCCATAAGATAAAGTCCGTACCTTTCTGTTTGCGCGGCGATTTAGAATTGTCTAAACTCGCATCCTCCTTATATCAGTGATAAAAAGAGAACGGTTACGTTTGGCGATAACAACTTACCAGAGTGTTACTAGCGTAGGAACAATGTCGACACTGGTACGGTTTGGCGCCTGTATGCAGCCGCGTGTGTCTCCGCAGGTTCGAGCCGAGCTTCGTCGTAAAATTACAGCCGTTGTAAGTGCAGGAATGGATCTGAACCTTCTCGGCGTTCGCGGAATCCTCGTGCCGTATCCTATGTCTGCGGACAGTTAACACAATCGTTTTAAAATCGGAGCAATGCCGGCGGTAATCGGCGCTCGTAAAGTCCGCCGGCGATACACGCGCGATTTTCATGGGAGCGATCGTTACGGCATTCTTTCCCGTTAATTAGATCCTCCCGATGTCGGGCCACTGACGGGCGCAATTAAAGCATAATGATACGGATTTACCGTATCCGATACGCACGATTATTGCTGTTGAACGAAAATTCTCGCTGGAATCGAGCGAAATTTATCGGGGCCAATCGAAGCGTTTTATGAAAGTCTGATTAACGCCCGAGCGCTAATACCGGTCAACGCGGCTATTAACGCCAGATAAACTTTCCACGCCGAGGTGAGGTCGATACCGAGTATCTAATCTCGGGGATATATATCTGCCGAGGGCATCACGGCGGTGTCGCGCATAAAGTAGCCGTTACCGCGATAGCCGCGGAGAGGAGTAGGTGCACACGAGGTTGTTTCATCAAGGGGGAAGCAACGAGGAGGCAGAGAAGGCGATACCTCCTGGAATGTCTGCAGTAGTAGAAATATCATCAACATCGCGCACGGCCGGCCGATTTATAACAGCAAATCCGCCGGCCATACCTTAAAATCAACGATTGTAACTAACAACTAATTGAATAGTGATTTACGGTCTATGCGTATATATATCCTGCGGCGCGACATCGATTCCTTCGAGCGTGCAGCAGAGGCCTTCGCGACACAGATGAAAGGAAGTAACGGAACGCCAGTTTGAAATGCGCGCGTGATACATTCGTGTTTAATTCAAGTGGAGTGTCGCGAGAAAACGGGGGTGATTTATTTTAGCCCGTTATTAAAAATAACAGGTTCGGCAGCTTGATTCATCTGTCGAGGCTTTGACAACGTCTCCGTCCTCTCACGCCCCCTAATATCTTCATGTAACCGGGGCACGACCAAGTGCCGAGGTGCGTGTTTCTCCCATTGCGAAAGAGGGGCACGAGATCGCATCAAAAGTGCATCCTTCACACCGTTCTCTCCTCCTCCCGCTCCTCCAAGTTCATCGTCGTAGTCGCGGCCCGGTGATTATGAACGATGCGATATGCGTGCGCGATATTACGAGGGAGCCGTTGACCGCCGGTACGTGTATATCAGGTTCGAGATGCGTGACACGTTTAATTAAAATCCCGCGTGATTTACTCCGCCGGGCTCGCGCTGCAGGGAGGAACGAGGGGTGGAGGGGGGAGGGGTACGAGAAAGGGAGAAAGAGAGGGAGGGGGAAAAGAATGAACGAGGGGAACGCGCGCGGAAGAGGAGCATCGGCGGAGGAGAGAGCCCGACGGCGCGCGACACACTCTGCGGCTGCGTTGAGTTCGACTCACGTAGTAAGTACTCAATTCGCGATGAAATATCGCGGCGACCATCGGCCATGCGCGGACGATCATAACGGGTTGCCCGCACTTAACCGGCTGCCGCACGCAACTTCCGCTTTCGCGGTCCTCCACCTCGATCCCTCTCCCGTTCCTCCTCCCGTTCGTTCTCTCGACCTCCGCTTCCCCACCCGCGACATTCGTATTTCTTCGAGAGCAGCCTCTCGCGGAGCGGGGAAAAAAGCGCGGTGTCAAACGGGGAGAAATTTATTAGGGGCGCCTCCCGCGCCACAATGTCCTTAATAAGGCTTAATTTAAATGCGAGCTCTCTCTCTCTCTCTCTCCCCTCTCCCCTCTCCCCTCTCCCTCTCCCTCTCCCTCGATCTCGCGCGATTTTATTGCTAGGGCAAGTCGGCACAGTCGGTCTTAGACGGTCGTTGTATGATCGAACACGCGGAAAGGAAAATGTAGCTGCCGTACACTGACAGAAAACAATGGTTGCAGTTACCACAATCTCACTATAATTTATAGTCACACGGAAAAAAACATTTAGCTGCTGTAGCTAAAACTTAGTTAAAATAGGGACAGCTAATATTTTTAGTTGTGATAGCTCAATATTTTGCTACGACAGCAAACGGTTTGCTGCCTATGTGCACATGTGCCTATTGTATTAGGTGCGACAGCAAACGATTTGCTGTCGTAGCAAAATATTGAGCTATCACAACTAAAAATATTAGCTGTCCCTATTTTACGAAGTTTTAGTTACAGCAGCTAAATGTTTTTTTCCGTGCATTTTAGGAGCCAACCACATTCTTATAATTCTTCCAACTACGTTAGTTACGGTTGACCTAACAATGTATTATATTTAGCTCTTATAGACACAATATTGGTCCATGCAACTTGTGATATGGTTGTTATAAACCAAAACGAGCTTTTAATTTGGTAAGGTGTCCTATATAAAAAAAATGCGTGTGTCAAGTCAATAGTCGAAAGTCTCGAAATCTTGTTGTCGCTTTTCTGAAATGATGACTGGCTGTCTCGCTTATGCGACACGACATGCTTCAGTCGTGTCATTTGCAGCTGTCAAACCATGTGAATTTTTAGAGAGAGCAAATGGCGCGCGCGAAGCGCGCGCTTGTGTGTTGTCTAATACTATAAATATTGCAATAAAAGCCACAAGTAAATTTTCGAATAACTATAATTAATAGTAATAATCGTATTTATATTGGAAGTAATATTCCCCGCTTTTTATTATACAGGGTGTCTCATTTTAAATGATTCACGCAAATATTGCTAATATTATAGTAATAATTGCTATAAAAATGATATTTCTGACTATAATTATTTTACTATACAATTATAATTTCACATACTACATATTTTTCTATCAGTGTAGCTGAGAACTGCACGTGGCAATTAAATTTCAGTTGTGAAATATCTTGCTACTGTGCCTATGTTATTAGACGCGACCGTTGCTGTGCTTTAGAAATTTATAGTTACGGCGGAAAAATATTTTTAGCAAACCATGATTAGCTACGGTAGCGAAAATGGTTTTTTTTCAGTGTATCGGTGGGAAGAGGAGATTCCCGGTTGAGCAGAACTTCTCCATTTTGATGAATGCGATAAATCTGTTTTGCCATCTTTGATTTTCAAACGGCAGATCGGCGTATGAGACTCTCTCTTTTACATTGGATCGACCACGATATTAACATTTTGTATTATAAAGGCAACGCGGTAACAGAAGAATGGAGTCGCGCATGCTTTGTTGTACGACCGAGTGCCATCGTCCGCATCCGGTTTGATTCAACGAGATTAAAAGGACGAGGAACACATATAAAAACCTATCACTCGCAAAACGTCCGTTCCAGTGTTTTACTCTGCATAGTATATTTTCTTCAAAAAATACCCCCCGCGCACGCGTACGACACAGTGAAGCTGAGCGGGATGGAAATACTCGGTGTCTGAATGAATCATTGAGCCGCGAATTAATTCAGATACAGACCCCGCGTCGTCCGTGCCTTAAAATAACCGGAGAATAATAAATCTAAGAGGTAGAGAGATAAAAGGCGGTACGAAAATTGCCGGCGTATCGAGGCCGCGCGCCGCGCGCATGGAGATGTAATCGGATTTTCGATAAATTACTCTTCAAATTATATCCTCCCCATTGTCTCTATCAATAATCCGCCAAGATTGATTCTTTCCACTATCCGCGTCCTCGCAATTACGTATGCGAGGCGGCGCGCGACGCGAGTACTTGCGTCCTCGCAATTAATTCTCCGCTTCCTCGAAGGCATCGATCATACATACGCGGGCCGTGAGCCGCGCGATTAATGGCGCAGGAATGCGTCGTTCTCGGCGGGGACCTCGATTAAAATTAATGTCAATAATATCGGCAGTCCGAGAAGTCGTGCCGCCAGCTCCCCCCCCCCTCCCCCGCGAGACGGAGCCGTGCGGATCGCACGCGGGCTGAATTGTTAAAAAGACCCTTGACGCCCGCTTCAACCTTACTTCGCGTTTCGGTCGAGATCGCTAACGAGTTCAAGTGTACATTTGGACCGTGGACGTAATAGTCGTTGCGCTGCTGACGTTGCGCTCGACACGTGGCGATGAGAGTGCTACACGTGCCTTGCGCGCGCGCGCATCGGACGTTTCCGCCACCGAAAACAATAGCCCGCGATTTATCCAGAACCTGGCAATTTTCATACATTTGACGATTTATGACTTAAAGAGACGCGTTTTCCGTATTTTTTTTTTTGGTACTTTTGAAACCCGTATCTTTCCGCGCGCACTTGAAAGTTTTAATAACACGGTACACAATTTATTAAACTGCAGTGGAAGCAATAAATTGTAATCCGGCGTCTCGCTTACCTGCGCAACTGCGTCTTCGTTTTAGCGGCGTAGGCGCAATCGGGACACGAATGCTGTTTCTCGATGTTGTCGTGGACCAGCTTTCGATGAGTCTTCAGCTCGGTCGCGGTACGAAGAATCGTTGGACAACCCGGAAGGCCGCACTTGTACTTCTTGCCAGCATGTCGCAGCATGTGCTGTCGAAGGGCATGTCTATAACACACGACATGTATTACTGCAGAAGATATTGTATTTCATTGTCCAGGTTACACCGCAGCCTCGAGTCGCACGTTGGAACGTATCGCTCGGATACAGTTTTCACCGCACAGAAAAACAAGTGTCAGATCAACTCTTATATACACTGAGAAAAATGTCCGATCAAATATAGTCGGATAACCCAATTGCATAATAACAAACGGATGTATCCAACGAAATTGTGTTAGACGCCCGCCTGGAGTGTAGGGAAGTCCAGGTTCAAACCCTGGCTGAGGTAATATTTTTCGCAATAAATTTTCTGTCTTATTAAAAATGCCAGACGTGAAAACACTGAAGTTGTAAACTGTATTGGTTTTTCAATCAAATTTCATCGGGTGTTATCCATAATTTTATTGGAAAAATTAACCATAGGAAACACTATTTAATTGGTTTATTCGATGGGAATTTTTCTCAGTGTACAGAAATTAACGCGTTCATTGTTTTGTATATACGCAACAATCCACAATCTTCTTAGAAAATTTAGAACATTTAATAATCTTACATTCCAACAATATTACAGTTTTTTTTAATACTATATTTGTCACTTGAAGAATACATATAATTATTTGAAGGAATAAAGGACTACGAGCCGTGACACTAACACCCTGTCACGGCTCGTAGTCCTTTATTCCTTCATATTTGCGTTTATCACATTTGAGCCATACAAATTTTATTTATTTGTACATATAATTATTTTGGTAAAGTAATTTTAATCGTTAGAATCTTCGATTTGAAAGTATTTTATTTTCTATGGAACATTGTTTCCTTTCCATTCAAGAAAATTATTCTCAAATAATAAGCATATATTTTTCTCGATTAAATTATATAAAATTGCTTCATTCAAGCAAGTTCTCCTTCCCTTAACGCAATTTAATATCATTTCAAGATTTTCACATTGAAACTAAACATATTTTCAAAAGAAGAATATTCTTTTTTTCTGTGCGTTTACTAGAAATTTCTACATTATAAAAAAGCTACGAAAGAAAAACCGGTAAACGCGTAGCAAGAACAATGGTCGGATATTCGCTCTACAATTTAAACGTCCGCACTTGCGGAATCTTGCGTGCACTAAAAAATAGAGAAACACGATTGGTATCTCACATCTCGGTACGTTACATATCTCTACCCTTTACCACGCTTTAACCGATAATTTTGCTAATGGGTCCGCCGAGCGGGCAGGACGATGCATCCTGAAAGCATGTCGCCGGAGATCCGCGCGATTTTTGAAATACCTATCGGCTAAGTGCGGCGTGTCGCGAATAATGATTTTGCGGTGGCGAGAGAACGCCCCTTCGTGCTTTCGTTAGATCCAGCCCGTAATAAGACAGCACAATGGTCGCGCGTGTGCACGGCACCGGCGACCAACGGCCGGTTCGCACGCCGCACGATCCGATCGCAGCTGTTGCATCTTATATCAGGCCGCCGCTGCCGCCGGCGGAGCGGAGCGGAGCGGAGAGAAGAGGAGCGGAAAGGAGCGAAGCGCGGCGCGCACTATACTTTAAATAGTTCCTGCCAGGAGGTGACGATCTATACGGTTAGTGAACTTGCCGTGTTGCGCTAAGTGAGTCAACAAGACGTATTGAGGCCGGATCTCTAGGTGGCTGATACGCGCTCGCCGCGTGCCTCGTCCGCCGCGCGCGGAATTCCCCATCCTTTAGCAGCAAGTGAGATACGAGCGCAATACGGCTGCTTTATAATTAGATAGAAACGAACATTCCGCTCCCCGCGTCGTTCGAGGGCAACTTGAATTAGCGGAAGCCGTACCGGGCGAGCTCGTAAATGCGATAAACACGTGGCGGCACTTTTAATTAACGGCCGACCGAGCGATACACGCGCGTCAATCTGCTCGGCCGCTTTGACGCACTTTTACCCAGACGCGTGTCGTTAATACAAATTATCGCCGTATCACCACCGGCGTGCAAATAAACGCAGAGGAAATTAGCTTATCATTTTTTTTTGCCGAGAGCAGTCTCGCGTATACTTTCCGACAAGGCCAGCAGCAGAACGATTTTCTTACTTCCATATACGGGGGATTTAGTTAATTTCTTGTTAATATAACGTAATTCGTATAGTGAGTTGGAAATGTATCTTGAAGGGCTGCACGAAGGGCCGAGTGGGTACCGGACCAAGGACCGGCGTGTATTGTCGCGGATACCCAGTCCGAGCGCGTTCGTTACCGAAATCAGCAAATTTCCCGACAATCTGCCCATACACAGTACTCCTACATGTGGGCACACATTATCTCGTTTCCTATAAAATAATATCTTCTTCGTACTCTGGGAAAAAAAGAGCAACCCATTTTGAGGCCCACAATTAGTAATCGAATTATTTAGATTGTTCGTAACTCTAATCTTTTACGAATTTTACCTCGCGTAACTAAAGCTCGCAATTAGCTCGTCTATGTCCAAGATTTTAAAGTAATACTAATCAATTCTCTCAATTAGTTCTGTCGAGATTCAGTAACGCAAAGATAAGAGGCACTAACCGAAATGTTAAGTTGCTTAAGAGAATCCCTCAGCCATCTTTTTTACCGACACAGTCAAATATAATTTTTGCACTTATAATTCTTTTTATTAGCTTTTGTGCACAAAATAACACCAGGATAAGTTGCGGACCGCATAGTCAAGACAAAACGAGGGACAGTCAACTTTATATATAAAAAAACTAATAGAAATTAAAACTCACTTTATAATTGATTGAGGTTAGGTAACTTCAATCTTTTATAAAGTTCTCTTTTTTTCAATATAAAATCGACTGTCTCTGGTTTTGTCTTTATGCGTACTTTAATCGTGTGAAAGAATTTTGCAATTTTATAAAGCCAATTTCAAATTAAGTTAAAACTACGAATTAAAACTGTCAAATATCAATATCTTTTTTATTAGACTTCTGAACTGAGTGTTTTAGGTATAAAAATTTTCTGCTATGCGGTCCGCAACTTATCCCGGTATTATTTTGTGCATAAAAGCCAATAAAAGGAATTACAAGCGCAAAAACTATATTTGACTGTGTCGGTAAAAAAGATAGCTCAAGGATCCTCTTCACTACAAAAAAAAACGGTCAAAACTTTTCCCAGCGTAGAGTTACGAACAGTCCAAATAATTCGATTACTAATTGTGGCCCCAAAATGGGTTGCTGTCTTTTTCTTCCCAGAGTACATTTGTATTAATGGGTTATTTTTTCTGCACTGACAAATAAATGTTCATTCTTCATAATAATAAAAATTTTTTGATACAATGTAAGTTAATCACTATTTCATCATATATGTATATCTCTCACTTTCTCTGTTTCTTTCGTGTACTACTTGGTGCTTGACGTTTATCTCCAGTAACGTAATCCATATAAATTTCCGAGTTAATACACGATCGCGAAATGACCATGACAACGTCTTTCACTGACGTAATTCTCTCCCACATTAATACATTGTCCCCATAAATCCATGACAACGATTTTTACTGATGCAACATTCGCTCTCATATTACTGCTCTCAATCTTAATACCTCCGACTCTTATTTGTAATTTATTTATGTAATAACCGTTTTAAAATATTTTTTTTGGCATTTGTACCGTTAGATCACTTGAAAAGGACCACAAACCGTGGTCGAAACGTTGTGAGTTTTGAGCATAAAAATTGCCAGACATGGACAAGTTATCATTGAAGTCTTAACAAAATTTTTCGTTTTGAGCTCAATATTATGCACTTTTAAAATGGGGACGGGGCAAAATAAAAATGAGGCTAAGGGTTAGAGTGTGCCGTTTGCTCCCTCCGTACCTTATCTCCGGTAACTCTTCGTCGTACACGGTACACCCGTTGGAGGATCTCGGAGCCGGACGCGGCCGGAAGAAAGTGCTCGCGGTAGCGGAGGACACGGATTTTTCGAGCCGGCAGCTCGACGATGTCGAAGGGACGCTGCGCGAAGCTGGTTGCGGGAAAGAGAAAGAGAGAGAAAACGACGAGGGCCAGGCGAGCGGAGAGGAGAGAGGAAGACAAAGTCGTCGAAGGATCTGGGCCGTCCTAGGGGGAGCCGGCCTATCCAATCGGCTACGCAAGTGTAACGCCGAGCTTTACAATGTCAGGGATATACACGCCCTCGCACGAGCCCGCGGACGTGTCCGCAGGCCTGCACCTGCGGGCCAGGTAGTCGCGCGAGTCCGCGCCTGCCTTGGATTCGGGGATGCCTCTTAGCACGAGAGCGGACGCACCGCTACGCACCGCGCTCTCGCGTGCACTTATGCGTTTCACTTGCGTGCGGACCGGAGGCAACGGCCGGATAAAGATATAAGGGTCACGAAGGAGTGCGGTCTCGCTTTGTCATAACGGATTTCGGGCTTCTCCGTGGACGTCGCGCCTACGAGCCAAGAATGCGCCTTGCAGCTTCTGTTCGTTGTGACGTATCGCGCGGGTTTCTCCTCGAAAGTCGTCACGTGTCGCGAGAGGCTCGAATCGAGCCGGACGTCTAATCGCGTCGCGTTATAGCGGGATTTTGACACGAAAATGGTGAAGGCGCGGGGGGGCACGCGGTCGTAATGTACGAACAAAGAGATTTAGAGCTTGTTTCTTTCGTTTTCGAATCCATGTCGCAGCGGAGAAATAAACGAATCCGAGGACGTAAGGATGGGAATTGTTTATGGAGTCACCGGTGACTCCAATGGTATTCAGCACAACGATAAAAATCAAGTAATAGAAGGATTAACGATTGACCATGTACACATAATGTGGATGCAGGTAAACAAATTTATGGTAAAGACGGGTGGATAAAATCTCACGTTTCGTTGCCCGCGTGAAGATTCCTTAAAATACGCTCTGCGGAAATGTTAAATCCTTACCAATGCTAAGCTGTTTGGCACCATAATATTCGGGAGTTTATGCCCGATGGATTAAGCGCTTTCGGCTCCTTTGACTATAAGTATATTTTGATTCTCCACCGCGTCGTCTCTTATCACGCACGATCCCGGACTCC